GAACCCAGGAGGCGGAGATTGCGGTGAGCCGAGATCATGCCATTGCACTCCAGCCTGGGTAACAAGAGTGAAACTCCGTCTCAAAAAAAAAAAAAAAAAAAAAAAAAAAAGTGGAAATTGTTATCAACCAAAAATTAGAAGTTTTTAAGTGAAAAAAATTCTAGAAAGAAATCAAGCTGCCTGAGGTGATAGATCTATCTGGGGAGAATGGCCTCCCAAGTCTACAGGAGCTCCTCAGAACTTCTTTCTGCCACTAATGTATTTTTAGGTCTTTGTTAATCAGAGAAAAGGTTTCATTTTTAACTTTTTTAACAAAACTAAACATTGGCTCCAAACTGATAGACTCTCATCTCAGAATCTGTTAGCAAAGGATAACTAATATTTGCAGACAAGAACACTATTCAGAGACACATTATTATAATTTTTTTTACACTAGAAATGACATGGCTTGAGAAATGACTTGTTGAGAAATCTGTGTTTACATTAGGGAGAGTGGGGTAAAATCCTTCACAGAAGTTGAAAACATGTTAAGTGGTAAATACCAAAATGCCCAGCAAGCATTTAAGCCGGCTCTCATCCTAGCATGAATATGTGCAGCTCAGCATTTTAAAATTTGCTTTTAGCTTTTCTAGCAGTTTGAATTAACCCTTTCTCTACTTCCACTTTCTCTGTGAGAGTTCAGCTCTTAATCTGCAGATATGGACTGTGGGTGCTGTCATGGTGCTTGGTGGCCCACTGGCAAATGATGTCCTCACCTGAACTGGTTTCCTACAAGTGGACTGCCTCGTGGACGTGTCTCCTAAGCTTCCTTACTATCCATGTAAGGCCTAGACAAACATTAGGAAGCAAGTCCAGCTTGAATGGATTGGAAGAGGCCTGTCAGAGCAAAACAATACAATGCTGCAATAAAGGTATATCCAGACCAGAGGTTCTCCAGAGCAGAATCACCTCAGAGAAACTGTCAGGTGACCCCAGCATCTGTAGCTGTAAATGATCCTCAGGTTATTTTAAGTATATCCCTCATTCAAAGACACTAATCTAGATTCTCTAAAAAGCCAATGATATTTTAATCTTAGTTTCAGCTCCTAGCAAATGAAAACAAAAAAAAAAAACAAAACAAGCCACCAAAACAAAACATTTTTCCAGGTTGGGTTTATCTTAATACCTAACTGGCTATAAAACTTATTTACAGCCTGAGTGAACACCAATTATATACAAGAAAGGTAAGGATTTAATGAATATTTGTATAATACTTTGCAATATCTTATCATGCATTAATGATCTCATGTGGTTCTCACAGCAACCCTATGAGGTAGCTTGTTATTTTCAAATTAAAGATGAGGAAAATAAGTCTCAGGGACATGAAGATTTGCTCAAGAGCCCTCAAAGAGTACGGCAGAGCAGCTATGGGGTTGACAAGTAGAGGGAGAGAATTACCATTGTTTTATTACTATAGGTCAAAAAGAAATTTTAATGTTTAAATATTTCCTATAGCTTTTTAGAAAACTTCCAATTACTATGCCACACTTTGCTGGTAAAACAACTTATCGCACAGTAAAACACTGCGTTTTTTTCTTTCTTCTAAATCTATCTGTATGTCTACACAAACACCCACACATACATACACACACACAAACACACACACACTCTCTCTCTCTCTCTCTCTTGGAGTAAAACAGAAATAATCTATTGTTCCTGAGTTTGATTGTGGGAGAATCATTTAAGATATGTCATGTTTATAAAACCAGTTTCAGGAACATGTAAATCCAGTAATTTAATTTTTGTATATCTTACATTAAAATGAACACACAAATACATTTCTCCCTCAGTCTCCGTATTAGACAAATGGAAGTGAACTACTTGGCCTAGAAAAGAATAACCTGCAAGAGAAATGTTGGCACTCCTAGTATCAGTAAGTTAAACTCATTTTTTGCTATTTATAGTAATTTGTGTCTTTTTTTTTTTTTTTTTTTTTCTGAGACAGGGTCTGGCTCTGTCACCCAGGCTGGAGTGCAGTGGCACAATCTCAGCTCACTGCAAACTCTGCCTCCTGAGCTCAAGCCAACCTCCCACCTCAGCCTCCTGAGTAGTTGGGACTATAGGCGCACATCACCATAATAAGGAAATTTTTGTATTTTTGTACAGACAGGGTTTGAACAAAATCTTTTGCCCAGGCTGGTCTCGAACTCCTGGGCTCAAGTGATGCTCCCACTTTGGCCTCTCAAAGTGCTTGGATTACAGGTGTGAGCTACCACGGCTGTCCATGATTTACATCTTTGAAGTGTTTCTTCTAAACACTCAGTCTATCAAATATCAGTTGCTGCAGACATTTGCATCCAAAGGAAAAATAAGCCATATCGCATCTTGGTAAGATGAAATATTCCATGATATTGGTCCTATTAAAGCCAGGACTGGCCAGGTAAACTCTTGGTGTTCTTTGTGCCACAATTTCTAAGCTCAATAGAAGAATCTGAAGAATATAAAACAAAAGCCAACAGAATAAAAGAAGATTGACTGAGCAGTACAGCCTTATTTAAGAATATCAGTACTAAAAGGAAATCATCCACTCTTGTCATTGAATGCATGCTACTTATAGCAAAGTAAAATATTTCTGGATTGGTGGGCCCCAACCTTTTTGGCACCAGGGACCGGTTTCAGGGAAAACCATTTTCCCACAGACCGAGTGGGAGATGGTTTCGGGATGAAACTGTTCCCCTCAGATCATCAAGCATTGGTTAGAGTCTCCTAAGAAGCGTGCAACCTAGATCCCTCGCATGCGCAGTTCACAATAGAGTTCACACTCCTATGAGGACCCAATGCTGCAGCTGATGTGAGAGGAGGCAGAACTCAGGTGGTAATGCTCGCTTGCCTGCTCACCAGACACTGGTCACCTCCTGCTGTGAGGCCTGACTGTGGACCCTGGCTGGCTGGGGGATTGGGGATCCGTGTCCTAAGTAACTTGGTAGGAGACTAATTGGAAAACTAAAAAATAAGTCAGTGTGTGCACACTAACAACGAAAGCAAATTTAATATTTAGTGGGATGAGTCTAAATGCAATAGAGACACTGATCTTTGTAACAACAAAACGTTAAATCCAGGCTTTTCTTTTACCTTGTTAATCGACATTTCGTTCATCCTGAGAGGTTGCTTTGGCATAACTCAGAGGTAGATTCAGCCCAACAACTGGCCCTACAATGCTCAACCATGATGTGATATAGTTGACATTCCTAGGAAACAAATGAAATACAGGCCATGCTAATGTTTCCATTGCAGTTTTTGGATGAATGGTAGAATATCAGCGGTCACCAATACTGTAGTTTTTGGATGAATGGCAGAATATCAGTCAGTCACTAACAGAAATGAGGCATTCTTCAAAGATGTATACTACCACCTGGAATCTCAGCATTTCTGAATGCCAGCCCCATTGCTTGACAAGAATTTAAGGTCTAGAGAGCCTACAAGGATCCCTCATTAGGGTGGCTGAAGGATGCGGTAAGGTACTGGGGCTCCTGATTCCCCTTGATTCAAATTTTACCCTTAACAGTTTACAGCACTTACTAAGGTAGGAGAGTGCAGTGATTAAGAGCATGATTCTGAGGCCAAAATGCTTAGACTGAAATCCTACCAGTTAGCTAGCAGTGCGACCTTGTTTGAGTTACTTACCTCCTCTGTTCCATCACTTTCTCCTCTGTAAATTGGGTTAAAAAATGGTACTTAGCACATAGGAATGCTGCAAAAATCCAGTCCTTTACTATATCTAAAACTTTTAGAACAGAACCTAGCATATCGTAAAAATCAATGTGTTAGCCATTATTATTATTACAAAGAATATTTCTTTTTTTAGTCTAGTTTTTAGAGTCACATAAAAAAAGTTACACTTTTAAAATCAGAGTAGAAGCCAATGTATCTTGAGGGTATTTCTTACTTATTGATTTTCCAAGAATTCTTTAATACAGGAGTCATGAATTCATTCGTCTTGCAGGGATGAAGTACAAAAAAGGGTTGCCCAAGTATTGGATGTTCCTGTAAGAATCAGAGTTGGTCCAAGATCAGTGTGAGTTACTTTGAAAAGGTTATCTGGTTTACTCCTTTAAAAGAAAAGGTTTGTCTTAAATTCCAAGTTATTGAATTAATATACAGGCTTATTTTGTATTTTCAATTATAATTTATAATCCAAACATCAGAAAAAGTTGGTGAGAAGGGGCTATTCATTGATGAAGCATTATGGTTGAGTATAACAGGGCACCCAGCTTTGTTTACACAATACAAACTATAGTTGCCTTTTATCAGTTCCCTCTCTCTGTTGGCTAGTGTTTCTCTTTGGCCTATCATTCTTCAGTTTTCCCTCAAGAACGTTCACAAAGCTCAGCAGTTTGACAACCTAAACAGTTCATTTTATTCACCTCTTTGTCAGTGGTAAGAGAATCAAAATCATTTGCATATTTACACAAATTTGTCAACATGTTGTTTCAAGCCTATCTGTATCCCGTGCCAGTGCGCACATGTTCCGTGAGTGGAACAGCGGATGAAAGGCAATGGTTTGCACTATTTAAGCTGTTCTCTCTCTCTCTCTCATCTCTATCTCTGAGTTTTTGTTTTTCTTTTTCCTAATTTCTCTCCTTCTGTTTCTCCCAAGCCTACAGGGCTGTTTCTATAAGTTAAAAGCCTAAAATCTAACTCTGTTCCTTTTATACGGTAGTAATTGGCTATAAAATATAGCTCAGACTGTACCCGAGTCAGGGACAAAGACATTATTTGGCAAGCAACGGGGAGCCCTAGAAGGTTTCCATTTAGTGGGTAATCTGCACGAGTTCTACCAACACAAACAGTATTATTGATGATACATTATTGATTGTTTACATTGTGGATTAACCATTATGCTAGACACTGCAAGCTCAAATACCTATGAAGAACAAGCAGGTGACCTAAGGGGATAATGCCAGCTAAATACACCAGCAGATGACAGGGCCCATGAGGAACTGCAGAGTGCACCCAACCGAGGCCATGCTGGCTACTCTGCTCTGGCCACTGTGTCATGTGGGAATGCAGGTTCAGCGTGCCAGGCCTTCTCATGTGTGAAACTAACCTAGAAAATCCAAAGTTGATGTTAAACCTACTGCTTTTATGTGTTGGCACAATTTATTTTTAAACATGGAGCGGGACAAATAAAACAGGTTTATAGGCTGGATTTAGACTAGGGGATACCTAGCTTCTTCTCTTGGCTTCTTCTCTTAGCCAACCCAAGGAGAAGTTGAACTCAGGGCTGTTGATGGGAAGAATTATGTGGTTGCCCCTACTGCCTCCACCCCTCAGCTATGAACATTTATGTCTGCATGCATATGCACACATCCATTCACAAAAACTGGAAGGGACAGTTCCATTTGTATTGGTGACACTGGGTATGGAGATTTGGGTTGGCAGTGGTGAGGGATGAGTTATCCACTAGTTATAGGTTATTGCATGTGTCTGGCCTTTTTAGTATCACCTAGCATTTTTTTCTACCTGAGTACCACCTCCAGGTAACTCTGACCAGTAGCCTGATTTTCCAGCAAGGCATCAGCTTCCTCTCTACAGTTCTCTTCCCAACCTTCATTGCCATCCCTAACCAGGCCCTGGGCTCAAAGCCCTGATGTGTTGTGCCTACGTCAAGTCCTCCTGTCCAAGTTGAGTCTAGTTTCCCTTATCTGCCTTAAACTAACATTTAGTAATTCAACACATATTAATCAATTACCTTTTTATGTGTCTGCCAGAATACTTCTAGGTATAGTTATAGAGACCACTGTATCTCTTAGATAAACAAAGTTCCTGATGCATTGGAACTTAGATTCCAGTGCAGGAGACAGCCAATAAACACACAGAATAAATAAGATAATCCAGATAATTATTCGTCCTATGAAGGAAAAACAACAGGGTAACATGATTCTGGAGAGACTGTGATGACATTAGAGTTGGAACGGGAAGGCCTCACAGAAGAGGTAACACAATGGACTGAATGTGTGTGTCCCTCTAAAATTCATATGTTGAAATCCTAACCACCAAAGTGATAGTATTAAAAGGTGGGGCCATTTGCAGGTGATTAGGTCATGAGCATGAACCCCTCATGAATGGGATTAGTGCCCTTATTAAAAAGACCCAGAGAGCTCTCTCACCTTTTTCCTATCATGTGGGGATACAGTGAGAAGATGGCATCTATGAAATAGAAAATGGGTCCTCACCAGACACTGGATCTTCCAGTGCCCTCATCCTGGATTCCGTAGCCTTCAGAACTGGGAGAAATAAATGTCGGTTGTTGAGTCACCCAGTCTATGGTATTTTTGTTCTGACAGCCTAAATAGACTAAGACAAGGTGCTACTTAATCAGAGATCAGAATGACAAGGAAAGAAAACACCCACGCAGAGGTTTAGGAACAGAATGTTGAGGCAGATGACCCTAAGGGGAAATGAGAACAGGAAATATAAAAAAAAAATGCAAAAAAAAAAAAAACAAAAAAACGCAAAAACAAAAACAGAATTATTCTGGACTAAAATAATGACTGTTTAGAAAGCTGGGATTTAAAAAGATAAATGTAGTCTAAATTCTTTTGGGATGACTTACATAGTTACCTATGGAAGGAATAAAGAGCTACAATCCAGTCTTACTGACGTAAAGACATGTTATCTTCTTTAATAAAATGAAACTTAGATTTCCAAATTTCCACTGGATAGAAACACTTATAATAGAGAGGATCAGTTCAATCACACAGCCTCTATTCTCTCCAAGACCCGCTCTCCCTTTGGCATCTCTTATCTAAGAGGTGGATAGGCACTTACAGTTCAGGGGACTATTTTCTTGGAGAAGTCTTAGGACCATGGCACACTGCAGCTCTGCTCATTCGATGCTGCTTTGTAAAGACTTGGTCTTTACTTCTATAAGTCTTCTTCTCATTCCACATAGCAAGTGCGTAAGCACATGCATGAGCTCTGGAGTTAATACTGTTTGGGGTCAAGTCCTGCTCTACCACTTGGTAGCTGTGAGCTATTGGGAAAGTCACTTAACCATTTTATGTCTTTGTCTCCTCACCTGGTAACTGTGGCTAATGATAGCATCTGCCTCAGAGACTTGACTGTGACCCTTAGATATGGTATTAGATAATACCATAGAAGTACATAGAACAGTACCTGATGCCTAGCAGACACTTAGTTGGCTATTAGTATTTAATCCATTTATATCTAAACAGAAAAGGATAACAGCTGGACATTCAGAAAGTAGTCTTATGGTACCTATGTTAAAGCCCAATTTCAATCTAAAAATAGGAAGCTCCTATAAATTAAGTAGCATATTAAAAGCATCACTGACCAGTACCTAAGTGTTTAGGAATATTTGACAACTGATTATAGGTGAAAGGAAGAAAGGTCTAAATTAGTAAAATGTCTATGTCTATATGGCAACTAGAACTATCATGATATTTGTATTCAGGTTTAAAATCAAATTAATGAAAAACAATTAAAATGAATTTAAATTAAAATAAAAGCTCAGGTACTTTAAAAACTCTTCAGTGATCTCTAACATTATAATATTCATTTTTCCTCAAAGAACATAAAACAGTCATATTAGCATTTAAGGTTACATTCTAATAAAATAAAATGCATGGTGATGTTCATGTAAAACATTTTTTAAAATAATTGAAACCTTCATGCCTCTGAAGAGCTTTTAGAATAGCTTGAGCATTTCTTTAATGCAGGTTTGGCCATCTTTAAAAAATTCTTTATCCTTTACTATACTGAGACCTTATATTAAAATTAAATAGAATATATTAAAATGAATGTCTTTAAAAATTATAAGTTTAAATGTATTAATAAATTGGATTTTAAGATAAAAATTATATTGTTTTTACAAAATGCTTTTGGTTTAAAAGAATCAAGCCTATGATATTCTGATCAGCTTAAAATAGGAATTATAAAATATACTTATGTAATCTTTTAGAAGAATTTTATAAATTAATAGCAATAGCAGTGGACTTCCAGCTGTGACAGAATAAAGAGGTCAACAAATCCTCTCCCCAGAAAATAAGTATAAAAATGAACAAAATTGTTAAAAACAAACCATTTTTGGGTCCTGGAAATCAACCTAGGGCAAATATAAAATCTGAGAAGTGTTTAGTTCATGACAATCTGCTAAACTTCAAGTAAGAAACAGAGGGGATCTGAAGCCTTCTTGCCTGGAAGTACTTTCATATCCCCTCCTCCTCTCCCCCAATGTCCCCAGCCACTCCATCAACAGAATTTTTACCAGAGCAGTCTGGCCATAAGAGCCAATAACTGTGTGGCCAGAGGGACCAGCCTGATTTCCAACAGACAGCTAAAACTATTGCTCAGCAGTACAGTCAATAAAAACAGCAAAACAGGTACTAAATGAAAAGGAAAAACTGCAGCTCTGCTGGTCAGAGGTTGCAATCCCAGTTGAGGCAAGCAGCAAGCTACCAATAATTTAATGGGGAGAATCTGGAAATAAGACAGTCAGAGAAGGGGTAGATAAGTTCTCCAGGCATCACTGGCTGATGGAAAGGGGATGTTCAGGGGAGACACAAGAAGGCCTGATGGGAAGTAAGAGCCAAGACCAACATGAATTCTACTTGAATTTTTAGTGTGTTTCCAATTCATGTACACATCCATTGGCAAAAGAAAAAGGCATTATCGGCTTGAGGTATTTAAGCACAATCATTTCTGTCCAATCATTGGCCAAGCTGCAAGCTTTACAGGCATAGCTGGATAACCCTGAGGAAGGCAGTCTAAAAAATAAAAATAAGAATTAAAAACCCAGTAGCAGAGACATCAGTGGCCACACTTATAAGGGGAAAAAAAAACCCTGCAGTTGAAGCCTAGGAAAGTTACTAAACCAAACAACAACAACAACAACAACAACAACAACAAAACACAACCCTCAGGAAAAAATATTGGAATCCAGAATTGCTGCAATATATCATCTAAAATGTCTAGTTTTCAAAGGCATTTATGTGACATGCAAAGAAACCAAAAAGTGTAGT